AAAAAAAAAAAAAAAAAAAGGTCACATTGATCTAAAAAATCGCCTGCGTGCTCTTGGTTTCCAATAAGTTGGGATATCCAATTCAATAAGTGGCAACCCTTTTTGTTTCACACATTGCCAACGATCACAAGACATACATAACCATGAATCACACATCTTGCAAGCAGTCACACTTTTGTCCTGCCTCCTGCATTGAAGTTTATCTTCCTTCCACCATCATCACAATCGCTAGAGGAAACAATCCGAATCCGCATTCAACCTGATGTCAGAGAGAAATTCAGATAATTATTACTGAAACAGCAAAAGCTGTAAAACCCTTTTCATGGTTTATTTGGTGTCCAGTGTCCACTCTATGGGCTGGTCACAAGTCTAGCGTAAAAGGGGTGGGATGCTTGTAATAATGACCCTAAAAAAAACCTGCAATTTAGGGCTTCTCTTAAACCGCTTCTCCAGCCATCACGCGGTTAGCACCGGCCATCTCCCTCCAAACACTTGTGCAGCAGCAGACACCTGGAAATCCCATTGACGACCATCTCCCACATTTCAACTTCTTGCTGCATAGTTTTCCCATCGATAAGCACTGCAAGTAATTCATTTGAGTCATCATCACGTGCTTACAGTCCGAAGACGAAGTACTGCAAGTAACTCGTTTGAGTCATCATCATGTGCTTGCTTACCGTCCGAAGATGAGGTCGCCAGTCTTCTTCAATGCTGAAAGCCGTCGCTTGAAGTCGGCGGCTGGTGCATTCTCTCCATCAAGATACAGCCAATCCTCTGCCTGCGCAATCAAATAAGAAGGATACGAGAACAAATTAGACCGGAGAGAGGGATGTAGAAGTCCGCTGCAGGAGGGCAGCCAGAAGGGTGTTAAAATCCAGAAAATACAAACATCAGTACAGGAAAGCCGAAAGCTACCACATCTACGCCCACATGGTAGTTTTTGAATGCCGATTGGCGTTTTTCCTCTGGCGTGGGAATCTCATGTTGCACCGCAAAAAAAAAACAAAAAAAAAAAACGGAATCAACGGATCATGGCGACCGTACAGACATATGCACCGCCATCCGGACAGTCTCATGTCAAGCGCTCAAACACCACAGATGCAGCATACCAACCCAGAATAAATGAACTTAAAAACTAGAAGAAACAAATGCTCTGCTGTACCAGATAAGTGGAATACACTTACAGGAAACAGCATTTGATTGCATCAACTCATCATTCTCATGACATTCCATACGAGCATCCAACTGACGTCTTCACCTGAATAGAATGCCCGCTCATTATAGCTGTATTTGGCACAACTTTCAGCCCAGATACATCGATAATTACCGGGCGTTCTATTCGGGTGAAGACGGTAGCAGTTAGTATCGCATGCGGGCACACATGCCTGATATGGTCGTTCGGCCCGCTGCATTGCAGATGGGCACTCATTAACAGGGACTATGACAAGATAACATAGTACAAGGAAGACGATCAAAAGATGTTACTTGCTGGTCACTCGTTGAGACAGGCTATGTCAACATAACAGGGTCCAAGGAAGACGATCAAAAGAAGTACTTGTTTGCATCCTATACAAACTGTCTGCCAGAGACAAAACAGACGTATCAGGAGATCATCTGGTAGGCGTCCGTGGCGAGCAGCATTGGCCGCACCTAAGCTACCTGCTTTCCAAGTATAGGACCCTTGCAACTCAACAGAAGAGAAGGTAACTTTGATGGTGGTCCCCGCTTCATCAGAAATTCTGTGATCCAGCATCGAAGAAGTTGGCAGGCGCAAGCCCCTTCTCTTGGAGCTATTTCAATATAGTGTATAGCCTCTGCCTGAAGCGCGCTTGTCTCGACATGAAGGGTGGGATGGAGTCCAACCTATGGCTAAGCGGGCATCTAATCACATCAACCAAATTTTGTGCTGAAGAGCATAAATTTAACCGTGGTGGCCAGCTGCTAGTCTGGCAACCCTGTAAATCAGCATTGGAGAAGATTAATTTGCCAGCGGTCGCTCCAAGTGCAGCTGCCCCTGCCCAAAGGCAAGGCTGCTGACTACCCGACCTATACAAATGGCACGATACCTGGTACATCGGCACTACGCCGGTATCGGACATGGACCAGATTGTCCCACTCCTCTCATATCCGTAGGGAAAAGTCCTCTCCGTGCTCTCACGCCAGTACCAGATATGGACCAAACTCTCTCAAAACATACCTAATTACACCACCCATCACACCCAGCAGCCATGACACATCAAATTGGTAGCATAGTTTTTTTTTTTTTTTTTCTGGTTATCCGATTGTACCTGCATTCAAACTTGGATCCAGGGTTGCAGGCGTTCGGGACGGGCCGAACACCCGAACCCGAACGCCAGAACATTTGGGACCCCCTCTCGACGCGTTCGGACGTTCGGCCGAACGCGAAACCAAAAAAAAAAAAAAAAAAAAAAAAAAAAAAAA